GCGCCAACTTCACAGGTTAGTACCGGACAGAGAGAGAGAGAGAGAGAGAGAGAGAGAGAGTTCTTCTTCTTCCTCTTCTAAGTCCACCATCTCTTCTTCCCCTCTCAGCACCTGACTTCTCAGTATCAGCGGACTACTACAGAGAAAGAGAGTTGTGACTTGAGACTTGACGACATTGGATCCAGACTCGAAATTGGGATTCAGACATTTTGACGAGGGACTATTTGGGCCTGTGCCAAAGACTTGGTGTTGACGACATTCCCATCTTCCCCTCTTCTTCGCCTAACCCCCCTCTTCTTCGTCTGTGATGGTTGGGGCTGGCGCATTCTTCCTGTGTGAGCGCCAGACCCCTTCACACCATGGAATGATGATGAGGATGTATGTTCAGGGCTGCATTGCAATATTGATTGTTCGGATCATTGGTATCTAAGTCTTCCGCCACGCTATCTTGTACTTCGTATTGAGAGGTCGGTTCTTGTTCAGGTCTGCACCGTGACAGTATGCAACAGTTTGGTATCGGAGCGGACCTCTCATTCAGAGGACCCGCTCAATCAAGTAGCCAGCTTGCTTGATCTATTGATTACTCATTAGTAAATCAAGTAGGACTTCGTCAAATCTCTGAAAATTTTTCTCGCAACAACTATCTGAAAATTTCTGATAATCACATTTCGTTTTACCTGAAATTTCTGATATTAGTATTTCGTTTTCACGCAACAAATATCTGAAAGTTTCTGATAAACGCATTTCGTTTTATCTGAAAATTCCTGATAGTAACATTTCGTTTCTCTGATATTTGCATACATAGCTGAAAATTTCTGATGTTAACATTTTGTTTTCTAGGCATATTAGGATAACGATAGAAGTGGTCATATTCCCGGAAACCGGATTTATTCTTTTCTGAAAATCGAATTTCCATTCTATCTCGCAAATTTTTTTTTTTTCAAGATCGCATTTTGTGAAAGCCGAAACTTTGCGGAACCTAGCCTATATCTCGCTCAAAGTACTCTTCTGACATGTCTCACTCATAACAGATCGACAGATATACAAAAAAAAAAAAAAAAAAAAGGGAAGTAGTCTTTTATATTTTTATTTTTTATCTGTTGATTAGGGCCGGAAGGAAAGTATTGTTGGGTTGGTTCCTACCTGCGTTTTCCCTCCCACCCACCCCTTTGCATGCATTTCCGAGAGGGTACAGTGCCACGTCAGCAGTGCCATGTCAGCAGTGCCATGTCAGCAGTGCCATGTCAGCAGTGCCACGTCAGCAATAGTGCCATGTCAGCAGTGCCACGTCAGCAGTGCCACGTCCGCAGTGCCATGTCAGCAGTGCCATGTCATCAGTGCCACATCAGCAAGAGTGCCACGTCAGCAGTGCCACGTAAGCAGTGCCACGTAAGCAACAGTGCCACGTCAACAGTGCCACAGTGCCACGTCAGCAGTGCCCCGCCACCATGACGGGCTCAGTTCTGGGCATGCCAGGCCAACTGGCTAATGAGTCCATCGCCCAGCGTTTCCAAACTCAGCTCGCACTAATCGCGGCTGAGGAACAGCGCCAGCTGGCGGCCGAGGCTGTCCGCCTACAGGCTGAACTGGCGGCAACAGCTGAGAAGCAGCGGCTTCAGGCCGAAGCAGACGCATATACCCATGCACGCTGCAAGGAAGCCCAGGATCTACTACAGCGCCATGAAGCCACCAGCATCGAAAAACTCAAGTTTTGGCACTTTGAACCATCCGAGGAGCACGACGACGCGACACCGGAAGAGCAGCACAAGGAATTCATGGCCAAACTCGTGACCAGGTTGGTTTACACTTGTAACCACCTGCAGTCCGAGCTTGCGAACCTCCAGCTGGCCGTGCGGAACCACAAGGCTCAGCACGAGGATGCAGCACGGGCATGACTCCCGTGTACAGGACTTGGAGCAATCTGCACCAAGATCCAATGTTGGCGAGACCAGCAGTGCACCCTCTAGCCGCCAGTTGGAGGAACGAGTTGACCACGTAGTCGCAATGCTCGGCGACATCAGTACCTTCGCTGCACCAGCCAGCATCAGCAATCAGCTGGACACCTTGAAGATCGAGGTTCAGCAACTGCACCAGCTGCCTAACAAGGATAGCAACGCGATGCCGATTCCAAATCGAGAAGTTTGATGATTATACGCATCAAGACCCGGTCCTCTAGTGGGAGGGCTTTACAACGCAACTTCGGATTCTGTTCGTCGCCAAGCACGCGTACATCGGCGCCCTCTTCCTCAACTCAAAGGGTGGATGCCAGATCTGTTTGAGCCACCTGGCAACCGTCCACGGCGTCGACGTCGCAGACCTGAAAGATAAGATCTCTTGGGAAGAGTTAACACGACTATGGAAGAAGCGGTTCATCGTGGACGACGCCCCGACGCTCGCCATCAACCGCCTCTTCGCTATGACGCAAGGCAACACAGCAACACACGACTGGCTCACGGAATGGCAAAAGATCGCGGCGACGCCGGATCTCGAATTGCCATTTTCGCATCTGCGCCGAGAGTTCTACAACCGGTCATGTGCCACCTTTTTGGCACTTGGTGATCGCGAGCAATTCGCAACCTTCGCTGAAATCATCGACAAGGCAAGGGAGATCATCAAGACCAATAGGGCAGCTGCACATGAGAAATCAGCATGGCAGCCAACCTATGTGGAGAAGGTGAAAACTGGTCCGCGGCCGCAGCATGTCGTTGCAGTCCAATCGGACAACATTGTGGAAGACTCGGCAACCACGCAAGCGTCACGTGAGGGAGATCAGGTGGCTGCTGTCCAACCGCGAAGCAACAACAAGTCCCGAGGAAACGGGAAGGCGAAAACCGCATCGCTGGTTGGAAACGGACAGCCAACACCATGGGTCAAGTTTCACTTGACCGAGGCGGAATACAAGTGGCGTGGCCGCTACGGTTGCTGCTCTTGGTGCAACTGACTAAGCACAAGACCTCCCAATGCCCGGATCAAGGCAAGGAGGATGTTCGCCCTCGTTTCGACTCAGGAAACTGAGTTCCGCGGGAGGTGAGGCGACTCCACCTCTCACTACGCCAGATTCGTCCGCCTTGCTAGTGGCCGCCTACACATCTGGGGAGGATGCGAATGTCGCAACCACTCCACGTGCAACAATCTATCGCATGCACGGTTTCATCACCATCGACAACCGATTCCGCAGCTTCGCCGTCATCTACCACGGGGGATTCAATGTCATGGTCAAGACTTGAAGAGCTCGACCCGTTGACGTTTGCGGACTTCCAATGGATGCCCCTTCCCCGGTCCGGTCGATTGCCGAAACCGCATTGCAACGTGCTCATGGCACAATTGCGGGATTACTTGCACACTGCAGTACCAACTCCGTTGATGGACGCCGGAGTAGAGGTTGTCGACCTTCAGAAGATCGACCGCGAGTTCAAGACACAACGGTACGACGACATCGACGCACCGTTGTTATATGTACGCATTCAGATCGGAGAGGCGACCTGCAACGCTTTGATCAATTGCGGAGCATCTCGCAACTACATGAGCCAGGACTTTATGGTACGCGTCGGCCTTGGCCCACGCGTTCGGAGGAAGTCCCAGCCTACGCAAGTCACGTTGGCAGACGGTCACACGCACAAGTCAATTGACCGGTGCATAGATGACGTCCCCGTGTACTTTGCCCCACATGCAAGCGAGGCGGTGTCCTTCGATATCTTGGACACCAAATTCGACATGATCTTGGGCATGTCATGGCTGCAAAGAGAGGATCACCCGGTGAACTTCTACCGCCGCTCCGTTCACGTTCGTGATCGGAACGGAGTACTAGTCCCATGCACGGTGGCTCCTCCTCACCCTTCGATCAACTGCCACGTGGTGTCCGCCGCAAGCATGCGAGCTTCCATCATCAGAGACGACATCGAGGAGATGGGGGTGTGTTTTCTCCACGCCCTCCCGCCCCATGACGCTTCATCGACGGACTCATCTTCGGACCCACGCATCACCGAGCTTCTCGACGCCTACGGAGACGTGTTCGAAAGCCCGCACGGAGTAGTATCGGATCCGCCCATCCGCCACGAGATCATCCTCGAGGACGGGGCTGTACCTCCGCGTGGTTACATCTACCGAATGAGCGAGGAAGAGTTAAGTGTGCTACGGGATAACTCGACGACCTTTTGGAGAAAGGCTGGATTCGGCCTAGCTCATCGGCATATGGTGCTCCCGTTCTCTTCGTCCGGAAGAAGAACAAGGATTTGCGGTTGTGGATCGATTATCTCAAGCTCAATGCGCAAACGATCAGAAACGTCGGCCCTCTTCCACGCATCGACGACCTTCTCGAACGGATGGGCGGCGCCAAGTTCTTCTCCAAGCCTGACCTCAAATCGGGATATCACCAACTCGAGATTCGGCAGGAGGACAGCTACAAGATCGCGTTTAAGACGCGATATGGGCATTTCGAATGGCTGGTTGTGCCATTTGGCCTTACGAATGCCCCGGCCACTTTCCAAGCGGCTATGACAACGGAGTTCCGACACATGCTGAATCGATTCGTACTTATCTACCTCGACAACATCCTGGTGTACAGCCGGAGTTTGGACGAGCATGTGGAACACCTGCGCATCGTTTTGGAGCGGCTACGACAAGCCAAGTACAAAGCCAACTGCGACAAATGCGAATTCGCGCGGCAGGAGCTGGAGTACTTGGGACATTATGTGACGCCGCAAGGCATCTGTCCGCTTGCGGACAAGATAGAGCCCCTCCGCCTATGGCCCGAGACGCTGCAAGGCATCTGTCCGCTTGCGGACAAGATAGAGCCCCTCCGCGTATGGCCCGAGCCCACCAACACCACAGACGTTCGCTCATTCATATGGGGTTGGCGGGCTACTATCAGTGATTCATCACCGGATACCCAAGGATTGCTGCACCTATGACGAGATTACAATCGCCAAAGGTGCCATTCGTATTCGATGACGACGCACGCCGGTCATTCCAAGCACTTAAGACGGCCATGCTCATGGCACCCGTCCTTGCATATATGACCCCATCCTGCCTACGAGAGTGACAACTGACGCTTCCGGTTATGGCATTGGGGCAATCTTGGAACAACACGACGACGACGACTGGCACCCTGTGGAGTATTTCAGCCACAAAGTGCCTCCCATCAATTCGCTTGATGATGCAAGGAAGAAGGAGCTGCTCGCGTTCGTGATGACTCTCAAGCGATGGCGGCACTTCCTCCTTGGGCGTCGTAGGTTACATGGGTCACGGGCAACAACCCATTGACCTACTACAAGACGCAGGATATGGTGAGCAACACAATCGGACGATGGATGTACTTCATTGACCAATTTGACTTCACACCGAAACATCTCCCCGACCTCTCCAATCGCGCAGCAGATGCACTCTCGCGAAGACCCGATCTTTGTGCCATGACACATCATGCCTTCGCATTCGACGAGGAACTCCAGCGACACTTCATCCGGGGCTATGAGTCTGATCCGGACTTCGCCACGTTGTATGCGCAGCTATCTTCGGATCACCTGCCGGCCAGCCACTATCGCATTGCGGACAAGTACTTGCTCCTCCACTCGAGAGGCAAGGACTTATCGTGTGTCCCACGAGACCGTCGTCTTCGGACTCGCCTTCTCGGGGAGTACCATGACTCGCGACTCGCCGGCCATTTCGGAGTCAACCGCACTATTGGACGGCTTCGACAACGATTCCGATGGCCCGACCTCATTACCGATGGTATTGCGACTCTTGCGAAGTTTGCTGACGAAACAAGCCCCGCAATCGCAATCCCTACAGCGAGTTGCGCCCGATGCCTATCCCATGGGAACCCGGCCTCTCCATTGCCATGGATATAACCGGACCATTTCCCCGCGATCGCCTCGGGCACGACGGCATCCTCGCGGTTGTGGACCGTTTGAGTAAGTATGCGCATTTTCTCCCTTGCAAGTATTACTCCACGGCTCCCGAGCTGGAACGCCTTTTGCACACGGGTTGGATTTGCGGCCACGGTGTACCGGAAGACATAGTCAGCGACCGCGACACTCGCTTCATGTCAACATTTTGGACTGCTCTCATGCAGGAGTCCGGCACGAAGATGAAACCAAGTTCGGCTCGGCATCCACAGACGGACGGGCAAACGGAGCGGGCACATCAAACTGCTCAAATGATGCTTCGTACGCTCATCCGTCCGGACCAGAAAGATTGGGTTGACCGCCTCCCCGACATCGAGTTCGCCTACAACACTTCGGTGCACCCGGCGATCGGCGTGACTCCATTCGAGTTGCACCACGGTGGACGGAAAGGCCGTATCTTCGCCGACCTTCTCCTCCCACGACCAGCCGACATCGACGCCGCTTGCTCTCCCGCTTCTGTCCGGAAGTAGAGGGAATTGCTGGCTCAAGCCCGCGCGAATATGCAAAAGGCTCAAGTCCGCATGCAGCAGCAAGCCAACAGGCGTTGCGTGCCATGTCCCATCCGCGCCGGTGATCTGGTTTGGRTCTCCGCGGAAGAGTTTGCATTGGAACAGGATGTTTCACGCAAACTGCTTCCCAAGTGGTTTGGACCATGGCCCGTAACATCAGCCGCGGGCGATGAGCCCGATGGCCCTTCATTTGTGATAAGCATCCCCCCGCATCTGATGGTCCATCCAGTCTTTCACACCTCGAAGCTGGCAACATATACACCAGCTAAGAGCGACGACTTCCCGGGCCGACGATCGCAGGACCCTCCATCTATGGATGGTCATCAGGAGGTTGACCGCGTCATCACGGATCGCAAGTACGGCAGTAAGCCTCGACAGTTTCAAAGTCACATTCAAAGCATGCGATCCCGACGACACTCGGTGGATTTCAGGAACAGATTTGAAAGCATCCGCACCGCTGATCTACGCTCACTACGAGCGACAAAGGTTAGCTCAGGGACCTTCTCGACCTGCCCCTCCCACGCGGACTGTGGTCCCTCCCTCAGACAGACAGCTTTGCCCTCGCAGGTAAGCTTGGTCTTTCAAGGAGGGGGGGGTGTGGCATACTGCGTAGCCACACGGGCCTGCAGGGCCCGTCCCGCATTCTCAGCCTAAAAGCCTAGAAACAAGGGCTTACAGGCCCCTGTCGTTTCAGCCTGAAAACTGAAAACGAGGACCTGCAGGCCCTATTTCGTTTTCAGCCTAAAACAGGGCTTTTCAGCCCTGAGGCTTTTCAGCCTGAAACGGAGGGCCACTTTTGGGCCCTCATAAGACCGACCTACCCTAACACTCAGGCACAAAACCAGGGTTTCGGGAACAGGCTATTTCTGGCCTGTTCCCACGACAGCCTCAAGCAGGAGCTGCAGCAGCAGCCCCTGACTCCCTGCGGCATTGGCAAGAGCAGCCTTCTGGACTGCCTCGCCCTGCAGTCAGGAGGCAGGCCAAGAAGTACATAGGGAGTTCCCATGCACTTCACGGGTAGGTAGTTGGACAGAAGGCAGGAGTAGTCTTCAGGATTCGGCCGCAGCACTCAGGAGGAGCG